GCTGCTGCTCATACCTTTTTGGAATCAAGTGAAAATGAGAAATGTGAGACAGACAGAAGGAAGGAAGTAGCCTTAACATCAAGTAAGAGAATTTTCTTCAAACAAACGAAGAAACCAAAACCAAACCACTTAAAAACTACCCACTCTTAGCCAAGCAGTGGTGGCACACGCCTTTAGTCCTAGCACTCAGGAGGCAGAGACAGGTGGATCTCTGTGAGTTTGAGGCTAGCCGGGTCTACAGTGTGAGTTCTAGGACAGCCAAGGCTACACAAAGAAATCCTCTCTCAAACAAAGCAAAACACATACACAAGAAAACTACCCACTCTTAGAAAATCCCTCCAAATCTTTTTCCCTTGCATGTATTCCCACTTAAAAATATAGTATCTGCTTCTTTTTTTCTATTTCTTGAAAAAGAGTCTTGCAGTCCAGGCTAGCCTCAAACTTGTAGTGACCTGCTTCAACTTTTCAAATGCTGGTAATGCCGATGTGTGTCACCACTCCTGGCCTATATTGTATCTTATTTATATTTTTCTAACTATTTCCCAAGATAAATTCTCAGAAGTGAAACTCTTGGGGTAAAGGGTAAGACTATTCTTTAAGGTTCTTCATACATATATCCAAATGTTTTTCAGGTAGACTCAAAAGTGTACTTAAGGACACTTTAGTAACCCTGTATTCATAATAGGCTATACATCCGACTTTATGTAAGTCAGATGTCTGATACTAGAAGTACTGATACTTGAATTATAATATTATATTAAAGACTATCATCTTCACACAACATTTGGAAACCATCTAACTAGCACAAGAAAAATACGTAGTTCATGATCCAGGCAAGTGGCAGATGACTCCATTACATTAGGTATGGTGGCACATGGTTATAACCCCAGTACTTGGGAGGCTGAGTCAGGGGATTGGAGCTGGAGGCCAGTCTTGGTACATATCGAGACCCTGTTTCTAAAAACAGAAACAGGAAAAAAAAAAAAAAAAAGTATAGTTTTAAATAGAAAAGAATAGCTTATATAGAAGACACATTATAATTTCAGTTTCCTAAGAATCTAGATAAATTTTCTTTACTTCTGCTTGCTTATTTTCCAAGTTTATGCAGTAAGTTTATAGTGTTTTAAAAAAAATTTTAATTTTCATTTTTGAAGCAGGGACTCATACAGCCCACAATGGTCTAGAATTTACTATCCAAGGGTAGCTTTGAACCCCTGCTATTCTTGACTCCACTCACCAAGTGCTAGCTTTACAGGTGTGTGCCACCATGCTAGGCTTATTTATTTACTTAATTTGAGATAGGGTTGTATGTAGCCAAGGCTAGCCTTGATTTCTCTATATAGCCAAGGCTCGTAGGCTCCTGGTTCTTCTTCCCCTACCTCCCAAGTGATATAGGCCTAGGCCATCGAAGCCAAACTGTATTTCTTCTATAAGAAAAACATAATACTTTAAAACTAATTGCTGGGCCAGGCAGTGGTGGCACACACTTTTAATCCCAGCACTCTGTGAGTTCGAGACCAGCCTGGACTACAAGAGCTAGTTCCAGGACAGCCCCCAAAGCCACAGAGAAACCCTGTCTCAAAAAACTAAAATAAATAAATAAAAATAAAAAAAAAATAAAACCAACTGATGGTCTTGAGAGATGGCTCAGTGTTTAAGAGCACTGACTGCTCTTCCAGAGGACCCGGGTTCAATTCCCAGCACCCACATGGCAGCTAACTACAAATCTGACACCCTCACACAGACATACATACCTGAAAAACACCAATGCAAATAAAAATAAATAATTAAAAAAAATAAATAAAACCAATTGCCACTTAGAAAGCAATAGTTACAACACATCTTGGCTATTGTAGGCATTATTAGTTTCTTCCAATGTGATTTAATATTAAAAAAAGACAGCATCTGATATACTACAAAGTAATTTTAAAATTGTAACAAAGCTGTCAACATTTTTTTTCTGGTTTCCTACAAGCTGATTCTACCTAATTTCTACAACTCCATGGATGATCTCACAGGCTGAGCAGTCCACTGGGTGAGCACCAGATAGTAACTGGGTTTTGCACAAACACTGGGAAATAGTAATTGAAAACAAACTATGGACCTTTACACTTATTCTGGTGAGAAAGAACAAATACTTAGCACCCCTAACTTAATAAACAAAACCAAAAAGATCACACTAACTAAACAATGGGAAAAATCAAACCATATAGACCTGGCCAGCCACAATAATAGTCACTAATACCACATGGCTACCTAAAGTTAAGTTGTAACATTAAATAATGGAAATGTGCAATAAAATCAAGAGTACTTAGAAAATGATATGAAAGCCAGAAAGAATGAAGACCTTTTTGCTTTTGGCTTAAACTGTTCTTAGAAAGGAGATGGTGCATATGACTTACATCCGCTTTTGCTTTAAAACCCTCAGGGCTTTCTGTTTGACCATATTCTGAGGAGAAAAACAGACTTAATAAAAAAGGGGGAACACATATGGCAAAAGAAGTCTCCCATATTCTAAAACTCGTATACCTACTTGCTTCTTTAAAAAGGTAGACACAGAGTTTCCTTGAGTCTATTCTTCCCCTCCAAGCACAGTAAACTCTGTCTAGTTGGTAAGCCTTACATAGCATCCTTTGCACCCCACATCTCAGAATCCTGAACCACTCTCCCTTTTCCTGATGCATTTTACTTCCACTTCCAGCCCCAACGGTGCCCACAGTGTATATCCAGTTGCCTTCAATATAAATCAACCTCTATCATGTCCTCATGTTAGAAACAGTTTACAACAACCCCCACCAATCTCTCCATTTTAGAAGCTGAGAACCTCCAGACGGACCTTTGTTTCCCCTCTCTGTTGGTTCTTCATGCAAATTTATCAGACACTACTACATTCTATACACAGTGCCATGTAGATGACTTGTTATTTAATCCTCACACTACAATGTACATGTTATTTTCATTTAACATATGAGAAAATTGAGGCTGAGTGTGGTTCACACTGTTAATAAGTTATGGAGCTGGGGAAAAAAGATAGCTATATATCCATAGTCTACTTAGTGATAGTATTATCCATAGTATACTGAGTGATAGTATTAGAACACTAGTCTTAGATGCTAATTCTGTACTTTTTCCCATGCTGACCACACCCAGATTCTGAGAACAACCAAACCCTCCTCTCCATACTGAGGGATTTTCAGTAGAGCATGCTAATTAATTATCATTATATGCTTCAGGACATGTGATCACACCTTCCATCTACCACACTAAACCCCAGCCTCCCTTCTGTATCTGGCTGCACTCTCTCTTCCCTGAAGAATACATCCTCACACGTATTTTATCCTTACCAGATTGTGTGTACTTTTTCCATTCCTACACAGTACTTCCTACAACAGTTGACACCAACCTTACCTTGGCAGGGCCCTCTCTCATCTTCTTGATTTGGTCCTTATATTTTACCAGCTCAGCATCCAACCGGGAAATTTTTTTGTCAATGGATTCTGCCCTGCTATCCACCTTGAAGGAAAATGTCAAATGTAGTGAAAATTATCGTAATATATTTACACAGAAAGGGGTAGAAGCAAAGAATATAGATGAAGAAAACAAAAGGAAGGATATAGCAAAGAGTGGAAAATAGTGGTTTACTTAAGGGTGAGGAATACTAGCCAGAATCATTGGAAGATTTTCCTAAACTCTTTCCTATGTCCCAGATTCTGATATAGCAACTCTCCCTCGAGAAAAACAATTTGGCAATTACTGAGTTGACTAAGATTTCCCAAGTGGAACAATAGTCAGTTTTAGGACTCAACATAAAGGTGTATGGAATGAGCCAGTGGACACAGGCTAAGACGAGATCTAATGCCATTTCCGAAATCAGGTTTAATATGGAGGGGACCAAGGTTCAGAATTTCGTGTTACTCAGATCCAGGACTAAGGTACAAAATGTTAACCCTGACACGTGGGCGAGAGAAGAGGAATGAAAAATGAACTGGTAGACTAGGTTAGACGGAATGGGGGTATGGATCAAGGTTGGAATGTGAGGACCAAAGCAAGAAAAGAAGATGGGGCGCAGGGGCGTCAGAAAGGGTTTTAAGTGCTGTAAGGGTGAGATAGTGAGGAAGTTAGAGTGTCTCTGGTTTGTGGGGTCAGGAATGACCTGGAAAACAGGGATGAAAGGGAGGGGATGGACAAGACTGAGATTAGGAATAGGGTGGAGTAGGAGGAATTCGGGATGGGACGGTCGGAGTTGAGTCTGGGTATACAAAGCCAAATGCCCACCGTCCCAATGCAGTCAGTCAAGCTAGGCGACGGAGCCTTGGGCTTTGCTTTCCCGAAGAATCGGTTCATCTTGGCCGGCG